AAGTACTAAATAGTATTAACGTTGGTATTTGGAGAAAGAATAGAGCTGAAAATCTGAAACTTTGATGTTATGTAGGATAGTCCATGTAAAAGGGTTTCCTGAAATTCGAAAATTATCCGTAAAAAGTACTAAAATGCACTAAGTTTGGTACAATTTGAAATTATGCGAACGGATTTTGGTAGAAACATGTAAAGATATGGCCCTCATATAGCGTTACTTCTTGATTTTTTTTAATCTTTTGACCACATTCTGACATTTTGAGTTCAGAGCTGACATAATCTTTTCCTGCTGAATTTTGTGTGAAGATATGTCCTCCTTTATATATTGATCCTATTTATTATTTGGTATTTTGTTTCTTAATGAATAAAAACTTCAAATTGCCAATATAGAACCACGCTTTAACTTAGTTATTGGAATATATAAAACATTTAATCAAAGTAAATTCATCGCAAAATCAGTTGATTATCTTCACCATTTTGTTAATAAAACAAAACGGCACAATTTTTTTGTGTTGATTATAAAAGATGACGTTCCATGCTAAAATACAAACGAATATTTTAGGACCTTTGTGATATAATTTTATTTACTCCATATACTTTTTGTATATTGCGAAAATATGGACATATTTTGCATTAATTTTTTAAATATCTTTAAAGCACTGTTTTTACAACTTTTTCATTCTAAAACACTGATAACAGTCGATGTTTCCATTTTAAAATGTTCACTTTTTATGGAAAAAATCTAAATTATTACATTTCAAAAAATTAAAACATTTAACTTTTCCTTCTTCTTGAAAAGGTGAAACATTTATCAACTTTAGCACTGTGTAATTAGAAAACTAGACAACGTACCGATATTTGTCGGTAACTCAAAAAATGCGTCAGAGAATCCCACTACTGAAGTAGAATTTTGTATGTTTATTCTAAAGACAAATTTATTTTAATACCTTACACCACATAGTGGTAAGGGTATTATGTCTTTGTGCATTTATTTGTAACATGGAGAAGGAAACGAGATAGACCCATAGTTACTTTTGAGAACCTTCATAGAATCACTTTCTGAGTCGATTTATGCATGTCAGTCCGTCTGTCCGTCCGTCCGTCCGTCTGTCCATGTATTCTTGTGAACAAAATGCAGGTCGCATTTATTATCCGATTGAGATGAAATTTTCCAAACAATATTTTTTTGGCCCAAGGACGAACCCTATTGAAATTAGTGAGAATCGGATCAAATTTAGATATAGCTCCCATATATATCTTCATCCGATTTCGGGTTAAATGTGCACCAAATGTCCACTATCAGTCCAAATTACCTGAATTTTGGCACACCCAACCGAGTTCGGCCTAAAAGCAATTATATCAAATTTGGAGAAAATCGGTTCAGATATAGCTATAGCTCCCATATATATCTTTCATCCGATTTGATCTTTAAGTCCCTCACATTCCTACTATGCACTCCTCAACCGTGATATTTGGTACCAGGTATTAGACGAAGCACAGAAATAGCTGTTTTAAATTTTATCGAAATCGGTTCAGATTTGGATATAGCTCCCATATATATCTTCATCCGATTTCGGGTTAATTGACCACCAAATGGCCAATATCAGCACAAATGGCCCGAATTTTGGCACATGTGACCGAGATTAGCCTTAAAGCAAATACAACAAATTTGGAGAAAATCGGTTCAGAAACAGCTATAGTTCCCATATATATGTTTAATCCGATTTGGTGTTTAAGCCTCTCACATTCGTAATATGCACTCCACAAGAATGATATTTGGTACCAGATATAAGATACAGCCCAGAAATAGCTGTTTGTAATTTTATAGAAATCGGTTCAGATTTGGATATAGCTCCCATATATATCTTCATCCGATTTCGGGTTAATTGTGCACCAAATGGCCGATATAAGTCCAAATGGACTGAATTTTAGTACATCGGACCAAATTCAGCCTAGAAGCAAGTATATCAAATTTAGTGAAAATCGGTTCAGATATAGATATAGCAACCATATATATGTTTCATCCGATTTAGTGTTTTAGTCCCTTACATTCGTAATATTCACTTCACAACCGTGATATTTGGTACCGGGTATTAGATGGAGCACAGGAATAGCTGTTTTACATTTTATCGAAATCGGTTCAGATTTGGATATAGCTCCCATATATATCTTAATCCGATTTCGGGTGATTGACCACCAAATGGCCGTAATAGCATCAATTTTGGTAAATCCGACCGAAACCAGCTTAGAAGCAAGTAGACCAATTTTAATAAAAATCGGTTCAGATATAGCTATAGCTCCCATATATATCTTTCATCCGATTTGGTCTTTAAGTCCCTCACATTCGTAATATGCACTCCACAGGAATGATATTTGGCACAAGATATCAGATAAAGCCCAAAAATAGTTGATTTTAATTTTATTAAAATCTGTTCCGATTTGGATATGCCTCCCATATATATCTTCATCCGATTTCGTGTTAATTGTGCATCAAATGGCCAATATCAGCCCAAATCACCTGAATTTTCGTACATAAGACCGAATTCAGGCTAGAAGCTAATACGTCAAATTTGGAGAAACCCGGTTCAGAGATAGCTATAGTTCGTAAAATGCACGATGGAATTAGATAGATTTTGATTTTGTACCAAATACCTCATAGAGCTCTGAAATGCCCTGTATAAACCTTTTTACGAGAGCTCTACTAAATATGCATAGTTGTGTAGGGTATCATATAGTCGGCCCCGTCCGACTTTTGAGCTTTCCTTACTGGTTTTTAATTAATCTCCTTTTTTGTGATTTCACCCCTCTGTGCGACGGGAGGAGATAATATACCGCAAACTTTTGCTCTCTTTAGAGTGGGAAATCACTGTGCGATTTTCTCCAAATTTTACACATCCCAATATTTTGGTATATGTTAGAGCAAGTGTAAAAATAAAATATTACCATCTATTACGGTCCAAAAGTTCAAAAATAAAACTAATCGAGTACTGGTATAGCCCAAACTTGACCCACTGTAATTTATTTCGGACTTAGGTCAAGAGCATAAAAAGGTTAAAATTTGAAAAAAATATGAAATGAACTTCCGATAATAACGATAACAAAAACTGTTATAAAATGCGAAAATATTCTTCAGTTAACTTTAAGCTTCGCATATTGGAATATTTCCCAGCAAAAACTTGGGACGTGCACTAGCCGAATGTCTGATGTTAAATGGAGTATATCGGTCCACTCCTTCCGGTACCTCCCCCCACAAAAGGTCAAAATTTTCAAAAAAAATATTTTTTTCTGCACAAAATGGGAATCAATGATCCAATTTTGCTCTGGCTTTGCAAATCCTAATATTTGCACCAGTTCTAGGTCAGATGCAAAAATGAATAATATCGGTCCACTCCATCAAGTGCATCCCCCACAAAGGGTAAAAATTTTGAATAATTATAATCCTTAAAAAATTTGATGTAAGAATCCGGTTGTCTTTAAATGATCTAGTGTTGGTCGAAATTTTGAATTTCCATTAAGTTCATAAAACGCGAAATTACCATCCGATTCCATTTAGACTTGGCACATCTGAATATTTCCATCAACACAATATGTGTTATAAAGATGGTAGAGATTGAACCATTTCTTCTGGTGCCTCCCCCACATAGGGTTCAAGATTTTGAAAAAAGCGAAATAAGCATCCGAATCAATCCATTCATCTCCTCAAATTTCCCACTTAAAACATTTTTGCTAACACAAGATCTGTTGTGAAGATAATATACATCTGCGAACCCCTTCTGGTACCTCGCCCACAAAGGCTAACAATTTTAAATACTTTTCTCCGTCATATCTTGTGAAACACGTCAGGGATTCTTTACCATTGCTATATCTAAATATTTCTAAATAACCAGAACATTCTTATATTGTTATCCGTCCGTTGTATCTGTTACCTCACCCATATTTCCACATTTTCCAAAAATTTGCACCTATCTTATATTATGTATAGGAATTAGTCGATATAGCCCAAATCTAGTACGAATTGGTTAATATTGGCCAATTGCTTCGGAACCTCTCCAGTTTGAATAACCAAAACGGTAGGCTGGGGGTATTATATCTGTCGTAAAAACTATACTATTATACTATTTTACTTGTCCTTATTACTCATAGTAATGAGGATCGTCGGTGATGACTAACCATGCAAAATCACGCCGATTTGTCTATAATTGTGACCTGTAGAGCGACTGTAAAATAAGCTAAAGCTCTAATTTTATCCCTTCCCCAAACCATAACATCGTACAAAATTTCTGAGGATCGGACAATAATTGTGATCGTAAATAAATCGAGTCACCTCGGTGAGATAGGAAGATCGATATATTACATCATCAATGTTTCGAGGTGTTGAAAACTCTTTGGCCCAATCAAGCTTATTGAATTTTGGATAACACATATAGCTAAACCAAAAACCCATTTAATCTTACACTTAATCGGACAAAGCGACGATTTGATCGAATAATAACGCTTGAGTGGCAAATACTTTTCCAAATTCCAAAATGTAAGAGGATAAATAAAAATGTTGCTGTTGTTGTTGCATCTGATACTCTTAAATAATAATAATTATTTTTATCGTTGCAATTGATAAGTCAATGGTGTAGTGAAGGCTTTATAATCCACTTCACACACACACACATATACACATACATTCCTCTGTACATATTTATTAAATGCAGGGATTTTAAGGACTTTTCACAAATGTGTGAATGTAATTTTCCCCCCTTCTACTATTTTGTTTGTCCGTCGGTCTGTCCGTCTGCTGGTTTTGTTTCGGACTTTATAAATCCGACACTTAATAACGACAATATGATGTGCTATTGAAAACTAACCAAAGCGGCATTTCGTCCATGGACGGATTTAAAAACCAAAGCCATTCAACTTCGTCCGATGCAAAGCCGACCAAAGCTGGCCACAAATACGTTTAAAGCTGATTATCATCTTTTGCAATTCCATTTCGAAATAAAACAATTCATGTTGTTGTTGTTTTTGTGTTTTTTGTTTAAATTTTATTGTTGTTGTATTTTGCAACCAATATGTATTTTTTTGTTTTATTTTATTATTTTTGAAATATGTTTTGAAATGTAAATATGTTTTTGTTTTTGTTCTTTTTTATTGAATTTATTATTACTGTTATAAGCACGTAAGTTTGAATGCGCGGAATAGGCCCACACAACCCCCCTATGTATCAGTATAACAGTTTTTAAAGATTTATTTAACATAAATGCAACATTGAATATACTTTAAATACACATATATATTTTTTTAATATTTTTCTTTTTTTTGCAAAGCCATGAAGTGCTGCTCTATTTGAGATTTAACAATTATGGGTGTGCTACGTCGTGTGTGTGTGTGCGGGTTGGTAATGGTGTAGATTTTTTTCTTAATTAAATTTGAAATGGAATCAATTTAATTATTTGTAAATGGAATTGAATTTCCACATGAAGGCACACGCTCAACCCGGGCTAAGTACTGAACATCACTTCATTAAAAATCCTTGGATCTCAAGATCCGATTCTCTATTTTTCGGCTTCTTGGTTGGTTGGTTGGGCAAATTACCCTTTGCACCCAAAATCTTTACATTTTCTTTTGTCCTCTAAATACTAAATTATACAGGAATCATAATAGTTCGGAGTAAAAACTTATACATGAGAAAAAAAAACTCAACAAGATATACAAATTGTTTTTTTTTTTTGCTTTTTTTTTTTGTATTTTTAAATTAATAAAAAAAAATATTTTTTAATTCATACTTACGTCTCCTGCAAGAATACTCAGTATTCTTGGGTATTGGGGATTTGTTTTTTGTATTGTTCTTACAAAAATTTAAATTATAGTAAAATTAGAAATAGCATTGAACTTTTTTACCACAAAATTGAAGTTAAAATCAAAAAAAAAAAAAAAAAAGGAAATGAGAAATTTTTAAAACAAAAAAAAATCTTAAAAATTTATGGTAAAATAGAAAAAAAAGTCTCTTGATATGTTTAACTGAGAGAAGTACAGTGGTAGGACATCCTCGTTCGGATTCCTGAAACTAAGCTATACGAGTCACCATCTAACAAGAGAGCGAATTGGGATTTTTTTGAGAATAACTCCCCACTCTCTTGATGAAGATGTTAAAGGCTTTTGTTTGTTTGTTCCATTGACACTAACATTTTAGCGGTTCAACAAAATATCCTGTCCAGTTCCTAGGCGCTATGGCTAGTCTATATTTGTCCGTTTCTTGTTCAGTTGATTTTCTTCTTCTTCTTCTGCGTCAGCGTCTGTCTGCGTCGGTATGAGATGATTGGTTTGTATGCGTGTATGGATGGATGGATGGATGTTGTTCTTTTTGTTCATGTATGAATGTGTTTGTGTTATCCTTGGTGAGCACCATCCGTCTCCCCCGCCCCTCCGCTTAGAAGAGCAATGAGAACAGACTCCTGACACCGGTGGATGTGGAACCAGAGCCTAACGTGAAACCACTGCTGGTCTGCCTATGCCTCGAGGCGTGGCTGGAAATGTTTGAACGGACACGTTCGTAGCTGGCAACATCCTGCAAGGCAAAGAGAAATATAAGATAAAATTAGTTGAACTCGGATCGGCAGATTTTAAATTAGACATAACTGATCTAAATCAAACTCAAGATGGTGACAGTGACGACAAATGTTACATTTGTTACAAGTGTTGTAAATCGACAGTAATCTCACCTCTTTGTCGGCATTGGACAAAATACTGCGCATCGAGTCGGCCACGGGCCATTTCTTCTTCATTACCAAATTGCTGGGTGGCTCGTGGGCAACACCGGCGTCCACGGACCAAATGGTAACGGTCTCGCCGGGCGACACTTTGGTGCCACGGGTGAATTTGAAGGCCAACTCCTCGTCGCCGGCAATGCGGGTTAATTGCCAGCCGGTTAGATTGATCTCATCGGTGCCTTTGTTGTGCAACTTAATGTAACGTCCCTCGCTGTCGGCTTCCAAGATTTGCAAATCACCCTTGGCCGCAGAGTTGACGGTGAAATCGGCCAAACTGCGATCTTCGGACTCATCGATGACAGTGCGACGACGTTTCACAGCGCTGCCACCAGCACTGCCACTTGGAGTGGCGGAACGACGGCCACTGGGGGTAACACGACCCGAGCGATAGGCCGAACTGGAGCTGACTGACAAATGGGTGCCATTGGAATAGCCGCCATCGGCGTGCGATGAATTGTGGCTGCTGCGAGCCGGGGAGGTGATGTTGAGTCGTCTCTCCTCACCGCCCAACAATTTGTCGTAGGCGGCAATTTCCAAATCCAACGAGACCTTGATGTCCATAAGGTCTTGGTATTCTTGCAGCTGTTTGGCCATTTCGTCGCGCATGCGCTGCAATTCGGCTTCCAAGGAGGCGACATATTGATTGTGGCGGGCACGTTCGCTGTCCAACAAATCTTCCAGCTCACGGATGCGAACCTGCGAGGCGTAAAGAATGAAAAAATTGTTATTTGAATTGTTTTTGTTGTTATTGTTGTAGGGTACAGGGTACGTTCATTGTGGAGGCAGAGAGGGTCGAGAGTTAGTTCAAAAATTAATTTCAAGCAAAAAATTCAAATTTTGTGAATTTTTAACAGTTATAGATTTTTATTTGTTAAAACCTGCTAATAATTCTGAAGTGATTTTCAAAATTGATACTTGGAAACTGGTATTTCTTGAGGATACTTAACATATTCAAACCCCAGAAATGCTTTCGATAACATTTTGGGTGAGGCCCAATCGTCAAAAAATAAGATTTTTAACAAAATTAAAAAAAAATGTAATATCAGAGAGGGCCGGGGCCTCCACTCTGGCTATGTTGGTGCCTTATATTGCATGTCCTTCACATGGGTTTCCCCCTTTTCTATCTCCACAATCCATGCCCAACCCTAAAAACCCTTGATACTCACATTCAAACCAGCATTGATGCCCTCCAAATCCTTAATCTTATTATTCAGACCATCAATCTTGGTGCGCATCATTCTCAGCTCTTCATGGACATGAGCCGATGCATTGTTGGCACGATTGGCGGCAGCCTGGAGATTCTTAATTTCATTGTCGTACAACAGCTCAATTTCCTCACGATTGGCACGCATCTGAGACTCGTATTGATCGCGCAATTCCTGTAGAGATTGTTGCAATTTAGCCTCGTATTCCTTGGACAGACGACCATCCAATTCGCTGATTTCGATTTGACGGCGAGAACGAGTTTCGGTCAATTCGCGTACATGCACTTGATCCTTGAAGCTCAACTCTTCGCGCAAGCTTTGATTTTGGTTCTCCAAATCGACACGGGCCAAGGTTTCGGCCTCGAGTTGTTTGCGCAAATCATCCAACTGCTTGAGGAGGCGGGCATTTTCGGCCTGCAAATCCTTGGCCAAGTCCTCGGCCTTCTTGCGATCGGCCAGGGCTTGGTTGTATTTGCCATTGACTTCATTGAAACGGCTCTCGAATACGCGGGCACTGTTCTCGGCCAGGGCACAATCTTTGGTCTTTTTCTCCAATCTGAAAGAAGAGCGGGGGAAAAGAGAAGTGAAACGATTAAAATTTTGTCAATAGTTTGGTATTGGAATAATTTATTGTTTATGCTAATTTCTAAGGTAGTTGACATCAAAGTAAGCGGTAGATAGAGAGAGAGAGGGAGAGGAGAAAATGACGTCAGCTCTAAATTTTAATGCTTACAAAATACCATGTGTGCTCTGTTATGCTGCCTGTTGCTGCTTTAATTTCTATGCGAGTATTGAATGTGAGAAACTTGTTTTCGGAATACCAAAACGTTGGATTTACATCATCAAACCTTTTGGTTTGTTAGATTTGTATTGTGTGAGCATAGGTTTCGAATGGCATTAAAAATGTCAAATGATTTAATTTTTAAATCAAAAAAAGTTTCCTCTCCAACACTAACTAAAAAACATTAATGATTGTCATCGTTAGAAAAATGATCATCATCATCATTGTCATTAGTGATAATGAAAGTTTGATGGAAATATATATTTTTCTTTCAGTGTCACACAAGTGTTTGTCTTTGGCATTCTATTTTCATAACGTTTTGTAATTTATGGGATTTTTTTCTAAAAATATTTCGCGGATACGTATACGAAATTATGCTGTTGTGGTGGGTGGAGGCATGGGAAAATATGCCAGGGAATACGTCTAAGTTTTATTGGGATGACAACACTTTTGGTTGACTGTACCAATCATATTAGTGAACTAGCTTGAATAGCAGGGTCGTGGAAAATGGGTGGGAGATCTTTTTATATACCGAAAATTTAGTGAATTTTCATAATGAAATATTGTAAAAACAAGTAACTAATTAAAAAAATTATATATTTTTAAAAAGCTATGGCAATAGTTTATTTTGAGAAATTAAAAAAAATAATATTTTGGGAGAGTTACATTGAATATATTGAATGCATCACTTGAGTTACATTGTAGTCGAAACCGGCTAAAATTAGATTTTCAAGCAAAATTGCCAATTTCCTAAAAAATATCTAAAAAATAATTATTTCTCTCACTTGACTTCCATAGCAGTCGGCTACGCACTCTCTGTTGCACCGTAAATCATTGCTTGTAACTTGGGAGTATATTTCTCGTATGTGTTCCTTGTTCACATTACATTGTAAGGGGTTATGTGGCCATCAGCATAAATATGTCCCTTTCGAGAAATGTATTTCCAAAAAGTTGTACGATTTTTAGAAAATATCCGCTCAGCATACTTGTCTCCTATTTGGAGGCTTTACTGTATTTATTTATTTTGGTCTAAATCATAAATTTTGTCTTTCACATATTTGCTTTGCAAAACGTTTTCGAAAACAAAAGCATTAACTAGCCTTGTCAGTCGTTGTTGTATTTTTTCTTTTTTTTTTTTGTCAGATGACGCTAATTTATGTTGGCCATTATATTTGAGGGCATTATGTGCGAATCTCATTATGTGATCCGCATTCGAGGAGAGGTGAAAATTAATGGAAATATTTTGGCTGTCATAAGAATTCATTCTATTATTAAACAAATCGTTGATGATTTATGGGAAAGTTTCGTTTAAATTTAGCATTTTTGTGATCTTTGGACGGATTACAAAAAAAAAAAAAAAGACTCTGGTTGTATATCGCTGAAAATGTTTGAATCATCAAAAATACATGCCCACAATTCAGCTAATTACGACGGCCCATGTGGTCAAATATCAAAAACATAAGCCCGGGGTCGTAGGCCATAAGAAATTGCCATTGAGCCAAAAGTTGAAAGATTTGCCCACATTTCTGACACTTTGTTAACTCCATGTTCAAACCCTTTTTTGGAATTGTTAAAAAAATATCTTACGAAATTGAGTCAAATCTAAAAACAAATAATAATAGATTTTTAAAAAAAAACTATAAAACGACAAATTTACCTATTCGAGGGCTATATCCCAGCAAAGCTTTGCATTACAAATCGGTTTACTAATCCATTAGATTTGTGGTCAAAGAAATAACCACTTTTTACTAATGACATGACCGTGAGATAATAATGGTTTGGTAATGAGATGTGTAAGGTGCTTTAACTAGGATTCTATCATGTGTCTATTAATTTTTCTCTGGTAGATTATTTGTTGCCGGGAAAGCTGTATTATTCGCAACAAAAATTTTCATTACCAAAAAATGAGTTTCCTAACCAATTTTTTTTTGTAATCGCAATTACTTACTCGAGCTTCGAACTCCCAACCTCCTGGTTTTTAGTCGAACACTAACACTCTGCGGCAACCTTACTCATTACATGGTCACGAAAAAAAGGCTCTGTTGATTAATTTCGATTTAATTTCGATTTAATTTAATTTACTTCAGAATTTCGAGCTAATTAAGGATGACTCTAACACTTTAAGGGGTCTATTCAAAATATTATGTCTCAAGTAATTGTTCCTAAATGAGCAGAGCTCTTTTTATTATATTAATTTTTGACAATTTCCTAAAGTAGTAATTTTGAAAATAAATTACTCGTTTATAGAAAAAATCCAGAAATTTCCAGTTAAAACGATCAACTTCATTTCTATTGCATGAATCAGACAATAATAAATGTTACGATCTCTTTCACACACAGAGAACAATGAAAAAAACTCTTCTGGAATTTTCTCTTCATTATATCGTTTAAAGAGAGTTACAATCTCTTGTCTAATCCCAACTGAAAGAGGAGTACGTTCCCCCTTTCGCTGTATTGTTTTTTATCTTTATTTATTTCGCTTAGTTGGTATTTTTAAAGCATTCCTCTTAGATAAAAAAAAAAAAACATATTTCAAAACTAAAGAAAAATTCTAAAATTTCTAAATATTAAATTCAAGGTTGCCGGCATGATTTTTGGAGTGGTGCTGACGTTTTTTTTATTGTTATTTTTTTTTAAACAACAATATTTGTCATGTGGAGAGCTCTTGTGGGCCGGTACTTATCAAAGCTAATCTAAATTTACTCACAAAAGCAGACACTCACGCAAAAATAAATAAATGAAAGAGTAAAAATGTCAAAACAAATTTGGTTAGCTCTCATCTCATCAAAACTCATCTGAGGCCATTCCCGTCTCCCCTTCCCCTTCCCCAACACCACACACACACAAGCGGAAACAAACAACATGCTTTATTTGTTTGTACTGGCTAGTAGGGGGGGTTATCTGATGAGGTAAAATATGCAAAAAAAAAAAAAGAAAAATAATTTATGTTTTATTGCCATAACTAATTATTGTTCTCTGATGAATTTTCGAATGGAGAAATCACAAAAAAAAGAATCGAATTTTAAATGAAATGGCATCGTTATTGGAGAGTTTGAGTTCGATGTTGATTCAAAATTGTTGTTGGCAATTTTAATGTTAGAGATTGATGTTGATTCACATTCGTTGTCTGTATCTCTCATTTCCTGTAATGGGTTTATGAATGACTTCATTATTTATTCAGAAATTAAAACCCATTTCATACATGTTTGATATTTGTAGGTGATGAAGGGATATTTCGATGTGTCTCTGTGTGTGTGTATGGTTGTACATACGCATATTGTAATTGAGAACATTAGATTCTTGTTTATTTTAATAAAGCTGACATCATTGCTGTTGTTAACAAAATGCTTTAGACGCTCTATGTTTAACAAACACACACACACACACATATATCCACCATTCACATTTACATTATTATTGAACATTTTGACCTTGTTTGGCTGGCCATCATGGCCGCCATTGCCATTGATAGAAGAGAACAGAACGGAACAATACTAATTCGTCCCTTGGTACTTTGGGGGCGTCTGTGGATAGGTTGGTATGTATATTTGTTTGTTTGTATGTATGTGGTTGGTTGCGTTATTGTTTGTCTGATGGCCTTCAGAGTTAAGTGACCGACCACCATCAAAAATATAAGGTTTTTGTGGTCTGTGACTCAAGAAGCAACCAAAATACATACAAAACGGGGGGATAGGATGGCCATAAAATAGAACCGGTAATATTTTCGAAATTTTAATTCCCAATTCATTTTTCTTGTTCTTAAAAAATATCAATTAGAAACGAGTTTAAATTGATTTTGAAATTCTATATTATTATTATTTAGTACAGTATTTTCGATGAAATATCATTGCAAATAAATTTAAGCAGGGAAGGAGCTAGTTTTAGTGGAGTCCATAAAAGAGATTTGAAGAACCTAGCAGGAACTTTGAAAGGAGCCGCTTATAATGAAGACCATTAAAGGGAAATTAAATTTGAATTCATTACGGAAGACAACTATCAATAAATTATATCCTTAAATAAAATGTACAAAAATATCAGAAAAGGCGCCACTTTGGATTGGCAGAACCTTGTATACGTCTTTGGAACCAGAAAATTATCTCTGGCCACATCAGTCTCTGTGTAGTTGTACTCTGTCCGTACTAGAAACTTTAAATAGTTACAGTTGGTTGAGGGACTAAATTATTTAAGTCTAATGGCCTAAGCTTAAGCCTAAGCTCTATGGGTCATGTTGGCGCCCAAGTACATTGGCTGATTCCAGATCAGCAAGATCTGGCAAACCAATGTAAAAACATATAGCTTAGGCGCCATTGGACTTCAAACATTTTCAATAAATTAGTCCCCCAACCATTTGTAAATCGTTGGGTTTTAGTTTCTCACAAATAAACGTCATTGATTTATTTAAGCTCTCCCATTTTGGATTTCATTCAACCTCTCTCATTCGTTGCAATGTAAACAAACCGAAATGTACTAAAAATAAACAACAATTTTAGGGTTCAATGCAAAAAATCTACGAAAACATGTGTTCAACTTATCTATTAGGGATGTCGATCGGGACCGTCTAAGAGAGGTTTCGTACCCATTTTTTGCATTTCGAAGTTAATGCGATATTGAAACTGAATAAACCAAATTCAATAACTTCTCCAGAGCAAAAAAGTTTTTGGCTCTGAATTTTTCACAAATTTACAGATTTTCCGAAGCTTACACATCTTTCGCTTGACTTTCGGGATATAGCATGTCTGGCTTCGCCTAAAATAAATTCTAGAACTTACGAATTGTACTCTTCCCACCAGAGGACTTGTACAGAACTTTTATGTAGATTTTCAAGAAAATAAAATGTTTAAATTATATAGTTTTGCAGGCTTAAGATAGTATTCATGCCATTTTGTCTTCAGAAAATTTAAATTCTCTCTTTGGAATATGTATTTCTAGAAGATTTTCAAAAAGTTTTCTAAATGGGAAATTTTACAATTTACATAAAACATAATGCTCCTGCATTCAAAAATTCCTATAATTCCCCAGAATGATAAAACTCCACTAAAGATAATATCTTGATCCGAGAGATTTTGAAAATTCCGCCAAAATTGTGGAAATGTTGCAATTTGCATGAAACTTTGTGACAAAGTTCCGATGTTCAAAAACTTCAAAAAATATTTCAAAGTTTTTGTTTCCCTCCAAATTTTATTTCATTCCAGGATATCTTGAAAAATCTTCCACCACCAAAATTGGGGAAATGTTCTATTTTCTACAAACAAAACTAATGACAACACCACCACCCCTTTTTACACCTCAAACATGTTGCCTCTTAGTTGTTGTTATTGTTTCTGTTGCTTTTGTTATTGTTATTATTTTTATTATTGCTTTGTTTATTTACTTGCTTGCCTTGTAGCTATGACCGGCGCCGCTTTGCTCTGCTTTGTTCAGCAGCAGCAGCTACGGCAGCGTCAGCAGTTCGTTTCTAGCTCGTGAGATGATGTCGCCATCGCTGCCAATGTTATTAGCAAAATGTGTGAAGTTCGTTTCTTTGCGTTTTCAAAGAGAACAACAACAACAAGAGTTCGTAGAATGAACGAAATAAAAAAATAACGAATGACATCATTGGCCATGTTATTGCGATTTCTGTTTTAGTTCACAATTTTTTTTGGAACTATGTATCTAGTTGTTGCTCTTGATGGAGAGGGGGTTCAAATTCATTGAACATTTGGAGCTTTATGTTTCATGGAGATTCTGTGTAACAACAGCCAGCTAAAGGCATGACATCATCGTCATCACACGCTGAACTATAATTCCATAAATACCGAAGAAAAAACCGTCTACGAACACAGCTGGCAGCTAGTCTGCCGTTGACACGTCAGTAAGCCAAAGGGCCTGATGCAAAAACAAAACACAACAACATATGGCCATGTGTCTATCTGTCGGTGTGTCTGTCTGTGTGTGTATGTGTGGGGTATATAAACAAAAAATAATAACAATAACACCAATCCAGTATATGTGGGTGTCCAATCGGCTCCCACTGAAAAAAGCCCTTGTGTTTGGCTACTGGGGGATAGCCTTCAAAAAGATGGTATATAACAAGTAACGAAGGTCTTGACCTTCTTTCGACTGCTGGAACTATTTGTCACACATTATTTCGAAATTATAATTTCACAATATAAATAAATACCATTTACATTTTCCTCCTCCTTCTGCTTGGAATACCTACTTTTGTTTCAAATCATCATTCTCCTCCCACAAACGCTTGATGTCGATTTCCAATTTGGCCTTTTCCTTCGACACTTCATCCAATAGTTTGCGGGCAGCGGACAATTCCTTTTCATACAAGGCCTTAATGTTGGACACCTCACGGGTCACTGTGTCCTGGGCCAATTGCAACTCCTGGGTCAAACGATTGTTCTCATTTTCCAGGTGACGCATGCGATCAATGTAACACGCGAGACGATCGTTCAAATGTTGCAGCTCTTCTTTCTCCTGGAGACGGCTGGTGCGGGTGGGACTGGTGGGGCTACCGGCGCCCAAACGATTTCCACCCTGGGGTGTAGAGGTGGAGGCACGCGATACACGGCTGGTGCTCAAGGTAACACGTTTCTGAGACATTGTGATTGGTCAAAGGGTTTCAGTTTCTGTTTCTGGAATTAAGTACGAATTTTCTTTTTGTGGAAAAGACGCGTCTTTTCTAATCTATTTACAAATAGTGTGTTGTTTTTTTTTTTTTTTTTCAACTCTCTTGGCTTTTCTCTATTCTTTTTTGCAATTTCTAGAGACTTGTTAATTTTATTTGATTTCTGTTTCTTCACTTTGTACGTCTGGTTGCTTGGACTTGAAAAATTCAACTAAACATTTAACCTCAGCGGTATTCAAAATGAAATCATCACCAGTGCCGAACGTTGCGGCCACGAAGCAAGTCGTCGTAGCCAGCCAGCCACTGCGAACGTCAACGCCATCGTCTCGTTTGCTAAGTGTTTTGTTGCTGCTGGTTCTCATTTCGATTCTGTTCATTTGTTTGTTGGCTCTTCTTTTTCTAGCACTACTGAACTGCCATAACTTGGAATGCTACGTTGCTTGTGTGTGCCATAGTTTGTTCTCCATCTATTCAGCTACGTCTTGCTTTGCTTATCCCCCCTCCCCATCACCCATTCGATTTGTCTATACTTTGTTCGCATTAGCTTTCTTCTGCTGCTGACGTAGTTTTCTATTCGTGTTGTTTAATTTATTGCTTATGTTACTATCTTGTTGTTTCTTCCTTGCCGACTTCCTTGTGCTTTTCCCACCCATTCCCTTGGCCAACTCTTGTCATTGAGACTGAACGTTGTTGTTGTTGTATCTTCCCACTAGCCAGTTGTCTTCTTTTTGAAAACGACGTAGTTTTTAAGAACTACAAAGTTATTTTACCTTAACCCTAAAGTAAACCGCCGCCATACATGACATGTAGTGTAATAAGTGTGTACGCAGTTCTTTGGCACAGTGGGCCTAACTGTAATTAAATTTCATGTGCGAAACATAAGTTTAAGATACCACAAATATATATACATATATATATATATATATATATATATATATATATATATATATATATATATATATATATATATATATATATATATATATATATATATATATATATATACAAACTCGATCAGCATAAAATAATAATAAAAATGGGATCACGTTTTGGCATTGATCGCATATAACTGTACCTCCAGACATTTGGTATTTTAATGTTTTTAGCGGCATTATCCACGGGAATTGTAACGGTAACTCCCTATATTCGGTACTTTAATGATTTTTAACAGCATTTTTTCAATGTTTTTTTTTTTTTTTTTAATTTCCAAGTTCCCTCCAAGTGGTGGAGGATATTTAAAGTTCGACCCAGCGTTTTTACTTGTTTTCCAATAAAATTATGCAGACTACTTTAATGGAAACAGGAATTTGAAAACAAAACACATCGCACATTAATACAAGGCCACAAATCGCATGTCGGAAATTAAGTCTTCCGCATATTTTCCACTAGAACTGGATCCTCTAGCAACGAATTACACCAGTGGTATCTTTAATGGGAAAACTTCAAACTGTATTTTAAACAAGCACAGATCAGGTAAGATTCGATTGGGACATGTATGGCAAAGGATTCTTGGCCACAACGAAGTGTAAAACACACGCAACGACCCGATGCCTAAATATACTATCTGGCCATCGGGATGGAGTGAAGGGCACTGGAAGAAATAGTTTACCCTTTTCGCCAAATTATACGACGAAGGTCATGAGTTGAACGTTCACTCATAATTCGTTCTCTCTCTTTCTCTCTCTCTATCTCTCTCTCTCTCTATCTCTCTCTCTCTCTCTCTCTCTCTCTCTCGGCAAAGCGGAATAGTTGCATAGGTGTACAGACGCTTCCGTCACTTCCCCATTTTCGTACAGTCTGCTTTATTCGGCGTCTAAGTAATCACATTTGAAGGTTTATGATCCAATGTTAAGATGACCTGTTAATATTCCTATCATTGTCCGTTCAATGTTTCAAATCTGGAAGGGTCTGTGTTTTAAGGAGATCTCTGGCCAATTTGTTTTTATACCATCGTTTTTCGTTGCACTATCTCACTTTAGCTTTCTCTCTGAAAACCAGGTACAATGTTCTAGTAAAATTACAAAATGAAGCATTTTCGTGTCGATGACATCGAGGCTATTGACCACTTACCCTTTTCTGTTAATACATCGGCTTTTCAAGTCCTTTAATATAACAATGCCAGATACCCCACAGAAGCGGATAGTAATTTGCAGATCTTTAGAGCCTATCTGCACTTCACGACTGCACAGATTTGATTACGGAGGAGTTAGTAGCTTCAACAGCCGCTTATCCATCCCCATGGATATTCGCCTCTTCAGTTATATCAGCTTCCCGAGTTTTAATCAGTGCTGTCGCCTTCAAGATAGTAACGGATCATGTGGGAGTAATTTTTCGAAGAAGACACAGGCTCCCATGTCATCATTGATCCGTCTGTGTAAATGGAAAGCCCCCTAGGAAGCAGATTAGCTTCGTTTGATATGTACCTGTTTGGAAGAATTATATATAATTCTTATCAAACTTTATGCATCTTGATTCATACGGGTTCCACTTTAATCTGCAAATAGCTCTGAGATCGGTTGTAGAATGTAGTTAAAGTTTTAAATTAAAAAAAAATGTATGGAACCGTTATATGGGCCCACCACTCCAAAGCGGACACAGTTTTCTACTACAAGAATTTATGTCTATTACGAGTCTTAAGTACTAAATTTAAAACGCCGTGGAAAAATATGGCTAGGATCTTAAAGAGACCGAATATCGGTGGGTACCTTTATATGCAATTCTTAGACCAATATGAACAATCTTTTGCCACCGATTGCAGAACCCATTATGAACTACAATTACCGATTTTAAAACAAATCGTTTTATCCGGCTTGTGATCTAAATCGTAAAACTACCGGACATATGCAGTTAACGTTATATGGGGACTATAGTATACGTATTCTTGATCAGCTTAAAATTCTGAGACGATTTAGCCCTGTCCGTCCCTCTGTCGGTCTTTCGTAATCACGAGTCAAAACAAATAAGGATATGAAGCTTAAATCTTGCACCGATCTGTCTTTTGTCTGCAGGCAGGTCAAGTATCGATCCATTGTATCGTATATATAACAGTACCCCCGATAATCGGTATATTGATAATTTTAACTTCATGTCAATGGAATTGGCTTAAAATCCACACAAGGAGTTCCATCTGAGTACTTAACCCCCTGAAAGTGAATTGTCTATATAGGTCCACGATATCGTATATCCGCCTGATATTTTACACAAGGGGATCTCTTAGAGTATTTTCCCCCCAAAGAGAATTTTCTGAGTAGGTCATACAATGGTGTCCCCGATTTTCGGTATTTAACGACATTATTCACGGGAATTGCGTCAAATTTCGTATTTGAAGTTCGGAATCGTTACTACAGCCTACGGCGTAAAATTAATTATCCAGCGCCACGTCTTCGTATGCCCAACATAAAAGTTTTTCATTTAAGCGGTATTTTTCGACGGAGTTTTTTTTTAATTTTTTGAGTTCCCTCCGAATAGTGGAAGGTATAAAAAGCTCGGTCCGGCCGAACTTAGCTGCCTTTTTACTTGTAGAAACTAATAGCGGGAAAAAGTGGAGACAATATAAAAAATTTCATGAACAACATTTCTTTGATTTAATACAAAGAAATTTAAGTTTTTTTTTAACATTGACTGATGACTTCTTAGTTTCCACGCCAATAACATCTAGAACATTCCGTTACTGAAATGAAATCGACTACAAAAATCATTTAGATTTCTATGTGGATGTCACACGCTTCTCTTCCAAATACCTATTTTCTTGCTTTTTTGCAAATTATCCCACAGTTCTTTTCTCTATTCCGATGGTGTGCGTTGATGATACGGGTTGCTCTATTTTTGCGTTCCACTTTGTCTGCTTTTAGCGCATTTTCGACATTAGTTGCTAGCAGCAGACCGCCCTTTCCCTCGGGTGCTGCTCTACCATTTGGTGTTCGCGTTAGACGAAGAATAGTAAAATAACTAAATTCATGGCAACAACAGCAGCTACAACAACACTACAAACTCTATGAAATTTTGCTAGGTTGTTTGGCTGGTTTTTAGGGCATTGTTTGTTTGTTTACTTTGACAAATGCGCGGTGTCTGCTGCCGCGCGGTTACTTATCTATGCCGATGTTGCGGCAAAAAGCTGGCGCTGCTTCCGCGGCTGCTGCAGCCTAAATGTGATAATTAAGCCCATTCAAGTCAAGATCAATAACCCCCCCAAAAAGCATAGAAAGATAGATGATAGTGCATAAGAGGGAGGGAGAAAGACAATATTGCGTACAGCAGCGTCGTCGTCGACGTCGTCGTACTGCGTATTACATCGCAGCATAGGTAGGTATTTTGAAACTAACACCGAAATGCGGAAATAATGAATGAAATTTGAATAAATAAACAAACGTAGTTTCTTTCGGAAACATCAGAATGGATATGAAACAGTAAATAAAGATTTTCCTAATTACAAGTATGTAGGTTTATCAAAAATCGGGTATTAACTTTAGCATACCAAAAATACCCATTAGAAAAAATGCCTTTAGAACACCCAAACTTTCAGGAGACATATGTATAGCTTGATCGACAATCTGGTATTCGATCGTTATAAGGTAGAGTTGGACAATCGAGTTCACTGATCGGGTCGTTATTTTTTAGCGTATTTCTCATGAAGAACTATACCTTTAATCTTGTTCCTTATATGGATAGGTAGCTAAAAATTAATTTGGCTTTTGGAATTTTCGATTTTAGTCTCCGACAAAAAGTGAACTTTTGGACTTAATTTTTTTCGATTAATTCAAAGTCAAGTCTATTACGATTTGAGATATTTAGGTGTGAAGATTATATTTTTCGACTAATCCCAGAAGTTATTTGCTGCATATTACAACGCTCAAATAGTTTTGAATATGGAATATATCGGTGTGTTCTACCATTGGATTTACTCCTCCAATTATTGGTATAGCTCCCAAATAACGGTATCTCCTGATTTTGAGTATTTAGGGAGAATTTTTGTTCTTACATTTCGCGAAAAATATTATTATGACTTTTTGTTATAGCTGTGATTTGTTATATCGAATTCTATGTGGATAGATTAACTCCTAGCAAAAAGGAGTAAGGCAAAAACTATAGCCGGGCAGGGAGGACCATGTACCCTATATAAATTTTGGTAAAGATAAAGTTTTTAGCTAAAGTTTCTTTAGATATGAAAACCGTTTGATTAGAATTGATATAGCCTCCACCATTCCATGAAGGGTATAT